CATGTGATCATTTCACCCCCCCACCCCTCCCCCCGCCAAAAAAAAAAGTCTTTAAAAAGCTTCACTCTTCACATTTCCCATTTACAGAAAAAATATCACTGGAGAGATGCACTTAGCTGCCTTTGAAATGCCTTATTTTGTTGACAAACTATACAGTTAAACAGGTAAACGGTGCTTCAAATTAACGTATCTGATTACATCTGTCCTGAGCACTTAACAAAGGCTGGACTTCCTGTGTCAGTTATCCTGTGTATCACTGTTCAGTGACTGAACAAACTTTCTGTTGTTGGGACTGTGAGGCTTTAGTAGTTTTTTTTTTCCATTTCGTAGAGACTCATGTATTCTAGGGCTGCTGTCAGCCAGTTGCGATTGTATGGATTTTAAATGTACGTCTGTAATGTAATGGAACATTCCCAGTGTTATGCTGCCTTGTGTGTCCGAGGTATTTTAAATGTACAAAGCCAGCAGCGATCCACCATTTTCTCCTTTCAGACACAATGGGGATTTGTATCATTCAGTCTCCAGATAAGTCATTTTTCCAAAAAAAGGTTTCAGTGTTTCAATGGGCTGCCTTCTTGCTCCCATGACGACCCAGTACATCTCAGTGCTGGTGCAGGTTGGGGGCGATGGAACTCCCCCTTACATACTTTCCCAGGATGTGCTGTGTTCTGAGGTCCAAGTAGACATGCCAGTTTCAATCCACCCATGCCAGTCTGGAGTTTTAATAGCTATCGGTCCTTCAAAAAATGTGTATGGGTGTTTTTGTAATGCACATTCCCTTGAATAATGTAGCACAAGGACCCACTAAATGATACAATTACTTCAAACATGCTCAACGAAATGAAATCAGCTGATGCAGACCTGCACACAAAACGGTCTATAGGATCAAGACCACAAAACAAGTGCTGTATATATTTAAAGTTTCCTAAGACTTCTTTTGCCCTCTGGCTGATTATATTACACAAAGAAAACTGTATATTAGTTTTTGTATAAGACGTTTTAAATGGAAAAGGGTTTACAATATTATTTTAATAAAAACATTTCATTTTTTTAATAAGTCTTGATATTCTTGGTGTTTGAAGCCAAACAGTGTTCGATATGTTTTACGTTAGAAATGTTTCAAAACGTTCTGAGATGAAACAAAAGAGTACAAGCATACTTGTTATATACTTTGGTACTTTGGTGTTTAACTGCCTTCCAGCATCAACTGATGTAAGAAAAACCTTTCACGTTGTTCTTCAGTGATATGCCATTTTATTTTTCACAATATCATGTCCTGAATTTCAAATAAAGACCATTTTAAAACTCTGCCAAACCTATTAAATTATTATGTTATTAAAATGATAAAAAAAAAAAACATGGTCACATACAGTCCAAACAAAGCATCTAAATGGTAGCAATGCAATAAAAAATATAGATGAATGAATTAAGATTTAAAAAATGGTGCAAAAAAAAAAAAAAATTAAATATCCCAGTAATCAAATATAATTTTGGTTTCTTTTTATAATTTTGTATCATGTCCTGTATATACAAGTAATGGCTGTATAAACATTTTTTAATATACAAAAATAAAATTTTCTGTACCAGTTCTGTATGTTTCATTCCCTACTCTAGGACTCTATAGGATTTGTGCGCTAATCAATATATACTGATTCAGATACTTATTATACAAGGGTGAATAAAATAATGGAAACACCAAACCATTCATTAATATCAAGGACATGGATGGGGTCATGCTATGTCTTCACAACAGCTCTACTTTTCTTGAAAAGCTCTTTAAAGGTCATGAACTGTTCATGGTGAGATAATGGCAGATACGAAGAAAACGAAGAAAAAGCCTTTGATTGTTCGAGGGATGAAGGAGATGGAAATGTGGTTTTTATATCTGGTGACTGGGGAGGCAGAGGAGGAGTCTGACCTTGCCCTAGTGAGCGAGACCGCACTCCTGAATGTGTGTAGCAGTATGTATGTGGGATTACTGTCCTGGAATATGGCAGCAGTATCACGCCATGCAGTCTACTCAGTCCTGTAAAATGCCCTCACGTTAAACTTCATTAAGATAAACATTCGAAAATAAATTATATCCACTACAGCTCTTCTCTGCTGCCTAAATTTACCTCCGATGCTGATTGATCTTCATTAACTAACAACTGGATCCTTTCCCCAACCTTTAACATATCCTACAAAAAAACAATTCAATACAAAATATATCAAACAAGTGAGAAAATCATACAAGGCTGTATCAAATAAACCAGTGTTTCCCAACCCGGTCCTTGGGCACCCCCAGACGGTCCACGTTTTTGCTCCTTGCCCAGCCTCCCAGGGAGCAAAATTGTGGACTGTTTGGCAGGGAGCTGGGAGGGAGCAAAAACGTGGACTGTCTGGGGGTGCCTTAGGACCGGGTTGGGAAACACCAAAATAAACTACCAGACCGATATTAGTGATACTGTAGAGGTTTCCTGTAAGCGTAAAATTCTTAGCAACATTGTACATTTTCACAACACTGTAAATGATCACAACATTGTAAAATGCTAAGCCATTTTAAAACATTTAAGACAGCACTGCAATCCTTTGTAACAGCATCTTGCCATAGTAATGATCATGATGATTCTGAATTCCAGTGCATATGACTCACCTGCTCCCTGTGAAGCGGATCCAGTGTGAACCACATGCCCACGGCACACCTCTGCCCCTTCGTCACTGCGCGAACCCCGTGGGGGTTCTCCACCCCAGACGAGAAGCCCACCAAGCGGCCGCATTTAGGCCTGACAGTCGCCTGTGTGTGCCAGTGACACATGGCTATTACTGGCAGCTTAAACATCCTCCATAAATGTACAGTGCAAGGACACAGTGTGCAGTGACTTCAAAGGACTGAAAAAGATGGCAGTTACAAATGTTCACTATTTTGTCAATTTTAGTGTACGGCAGGTCACATGACAGATTCACAATCTTTAATCACTTACCGTAATACTTTCACCGTCCATTTCTGTAAAAATGAACTCGCCACCTTCAAAGTCTCCGTTTAGATACAGCAGTGCACTGGAAAGGGAAGGCATCCATACAGGTAACAGCACTCAAAGCAGCAACAATTTTGCCTCACGCGTGAGAACTGCAGCTTTCTGGTTGTACAGCCGTGACAAAAAACGGACACTGATAGTTCATTGTAGCTACAGTATTATATGTAGACACTTAGACTTGTGTAGTATTTGAATCCGTCTGTTAACAATTCTAGTTTCGAAAACATCCATCCAACTAGCATTCATAACTTGAATGTATGGGGGAGACATGCAAACTCCACACACACACACACACACACACACACACACACACACACACACACACACACACACACACACACACACACACACAGCTGGAAACAAACCGACAGCCCTGGAGGTATGAGAATATGCCAGCCTTTCTTAAACAGATGAGCTCTAAGGTTTTTCTAACTGGGACGAATCCCAGGGGGTTTTTGGTTACAGGCAAAGCTTTAAATGTACCGGCTACCTGTAGTCTCGGAAGGTGTAAGCGGGTGGCACTTTCAGACACATCTTGGCTTTGGAGTCCAGGATGCAGTTGTCCACGTGGACTGCGTGGCTCATATCTTCTCGGTGGTGCTGGTGGTCTGCGATTTAAGGTGGACCCACATAGGTCACCAGAGCATCATTGAAGCCAAATGTGAGAGATGGTAATGTGTCAAGCAACCTAACATGTGTTTGATATGCATTTGCTGCTTAGCTACTTATAAACATGTTATACTGGCTTGCTAGTATTTGTTAGTAAAATAGTTAAATGTTACTTTTAATTTAATTAGTTATTAACAGGGGTGCACATAACTGGTATGCAAGTATGCATTCACCATATGAGATCCAGGTCTATAAGATTCTAACAGGTTTGGATGCTGTTCAACCGAATAGTTACTTCAGCATTAGTTCAAATACTAGAACTCGTGGCCATAGGTGGAAATTAG